ATTTTTATTAAGGTCATATATACTATTTACGAGTACATGGTGAATGAAGCTACAACGATCTCATTTTCCTATATTAGTTTCTCCTTTTTTTGTCTGTGGGGGCATTTTATTTTAGGAAAACAATAATTGAAAATGAAATTGAAGAAGGCTTGAGACGGGAGAACGACTTTTCTCAAACAAGATATTTCCCGTGTTCAAATTGGGGAAACACAAACACTATTACTACAAGTAATAAGTTGCTTCAATCTACTAGAAGAAAATTAATTCTTTCAAAGGGAAAAGAATGACTTCTTGTGACAAAGCAGAAAACTCAAGTTTATGCGCAAGGGGTTGCGGCTTCTATGGTAACCCAAGCAATCACAACAGTTGTTCCCAATTCTATAAAGCTTTCTTGAAAGAAGAATCCGCCAAGAGTGCAATAGCTTTATCTGAAAAGTTATATTTTCTTACTGTTGATAATACTGTTAAAACTGAAAACGACGATGGTTTGACGATGAAGACGAAGACAGAAAGGTGCAAGAGTTGTAAGAAGAAGGTGGGATTAGTAGTGTTTAGTTGTAAGTGTGGTGGAATATTTTGCAGGATTCATAGGTACCTAGAGGAACATACATGCACATTCAATTTCAAGTCTATGGGACGTGCGCTTTTGGTTAAGGAAAATCCTCTTTGCAAAGCTGATAAACTTGAGTATAGGATCTAAGGCATTCAATTTTAAGTCTATTGCTTTTGTTTTGATTAATACCAAATAATGTAAAGTTGCAGTTTCCGTTTGAGAATATTTTTATTAAGGTCATATATATTATTTACGAGTACATGGTGAATGAAGCTACAACGATCTCATTTTCCTATATTAGTTTCTCCTTTTTTTGTCTGTGGGGGCATTTTATTTTAGGAAAACAATAATTGAAAACGAAATTGAAGAAGGCTTGAGACGTGAGAACGGCTTTCCTCAAACAAGATATTTTCCGTGTTCAAATTGGGGAAACACAAACACTATTACTACAAGTGATAAGTTGCTTCAATCTATTAAAAGAAAATTAATTCTTTCAAAGGGAAATGAATGGCTTCTTGTGACAAAGCAGAAAACTCAAGTTTATGCGCAAGGGGTTGCGGCTTCTATGGTAACCCAAGCAACTACAACATTTGTTCCCAATTCTATAAAGCTTTCTTGAAAGAAGAATCCGCCAAGATTGCAATAGCTTTATCTGAAAAGTTATATTTTCTTACTGTTGATGATACTGTTAAAACTGAAAACGACGATGGTTTGACCATGAAGACGAAGACAGAAAGGTGCAATAGTTGTAAGAAGAAGGTGGGATTAGTAGGGTTTAGTTGTAAGTGTGGTGGAATATTTTGCAGGATTCATTGGTACCCAAAGGAACTTGCATGCACATTCAATTTCAAGTCTATGGGACGTGCGCTTTTGGTTAAGGAAAATCCTCTTTGCAAAGCTGATAAACTTGAGTATAGGATCTAAGACATTCAATTTTAAGTCTATTGCTTTTGTTTTGATTAATACCAAATAGTGTAAAGTTACAGTTTTCGTTTGAGAACATTTTTATTAAGGTCATATATACTATTTACGAGTACATGGTGAATGAAGCTACAACGATCTCATTTTCCTATATTAGTTTCTCCTTTTTTTGTCTGTGGGGGCATTTTATTTTAGGAAAACAATAATTGAAAATGAAATTGAAGAAGGCTTGAGACGGGAGAACGACTTTTCTCAAACAAGATATTTCCCGTGTTCAAATTGGGGAAACACAAACACTATTACTACAAGTGATAAGTTGCTTCAATCTACTAGAAGAAAATTAATTCTTTCGAAGGGAAAACAATGACTTCTTGTGACAAAGCAGAAAACTCAAGTTTATGCGCAAGGGGTTGCGGTTTCTATGGTAACCCAAGCAATCACAATATTTGTTCCCAATTCTATAAAGCTTTCTTGAAAGAAGAATCCGCCAAGAGTGCAATAGCTTTATCTGAAAAGTTATATTTTCTTACTGTTGATGATACTGTTAAAACTGGAAACGACGACGGTTTGTCGATGAAGACGAAGACAGAAAGGTGCAAGAGTTGTAAGAAGAAGGTGGGATTAGTAGGGTTTAGTTGTAAGTGTAGTGGAATGTTTTGCAGGATTCATAGGTACCCAGAGGAACATGCATGCACATTCAATTTCAAGTCTATGGGATGTGCACTTTTGGCTAAGAAAAATCCTCTTTGCAAAGCTGATAAACTTGAGTATAGGATCTAAGGCATTCAATTTTAAGTCTATTGCTTTTGTTTTGATTAATACTAAATAATGTAAAGTTGCAGTTTCCGTTTGAGAATATTTTTATTAAGGTCATATATACTATTTACGAGTACATGGTGAATGAAGCTACAATGATCTCATTTTCCTATATTAGTTTCTCCTTTTTTTGTCTGTAGGGGCATTTTATTTTAGGAAAACAATAATTGAAAACGAAATTGAAGAAGGCTTGAGACGGGAGAACGACTTTCCTCAAACAAGATATTTTCCGTGTTCAAATTGGGGAAACATAAACACTATTACTACAAGTGATAAGTTGCTTCAATCTATTAGAGGAAAATTAATTCTTTCAAAGGGAAAAGAATGACTTCTTGTGACAAAGCAGAAAACTCAAGTTTATGCGCAAGGGGTTGCGGCTTCTATGGTAACCCAAGCAACTACAACATTTGTTCCCAATTCTATAAAGCTTTCTTAAAAGAAGAATCCGTTAAGAGTGCAATAGCTTTATCTGAAAAGTTATATTTTCTTACTGTTGATGATACTGTTAAAACTGGAAACGAAGATGGTTTGACGATGAAGACGAAGACAGAAAGGTGCAATAGTTATAAGAAGAAGGTGGGATTAGTAGGGTTTAGTTGTAAGTTTGGTGGAATATTTTGCAGGATTCATATGTACCCAGAGGAACTTACATGCACATTCAATTTCAAGTATATGGGACGTGCGCTTTTGGTTAAGGAAAATCCTCTTTGCAAAGCTGATAAACTTGAGTATAGGATCTAAGGCATTCAATTTTAAGTCTATTGCTTTTGTTTTGATTAATACCAAATAGTGTAAAGTTGTAGTTTCCGTTTGAGAACATTTTTATTAAGGTCGTATATACTATTTAAAGTTGCTTTTGTTTGGTGCACGCCATCCACTTATTTCCTTGAAACTGGTGATTATTTCAAAAGGTGATATTTATTACAGTTCAACATCTGAAAAAGTGGGACAACCCCAATGGTCCCTTTTTATATGTTAGTGATGTGATGGTTTGGCCTTTCAGCTTATCATCCGCCTATATAAAAATATAATGTTTAATATTTTTTGAGGATAGTAAAACCTATTTACATTTTACTCCTACAGTATTTACGGAACTTTAAAATACTTTTTCCATTCTTAATATTAGCCAAATACACATTAACTATAGTAATTATATGTCCAATTTGGGATGGCGAAGTATCTATGAGACGGAAAAGAAATATGTTTTGTGTAAAATACCCACACACACAAACACATACACAAAAGGAGAAACTAATACAGGAAAATAAGATCGGTGTAGCTTCATTCACCATGTACTCGTAAATACTATATATGAAACAAGAAGATGATTAGACTATTTTGTATATTTTAAGGAAATTTACATGGTATAACTAATTTATGCACTATATTTACCATAAATAAATACACTTTAAAATAATTATAATACATAGCTATATTTTGGATTTTACAGCAAATTCCCTTTATAAGAATTAGGAAAAAACCCTAGTAGCTAAGAAAGAAAAAGTTACGCAACAGCAATCTTCATCTTCCTTGAACCAGCAGCTCTTTCCATAAAACTCTAAAAGGAATTGCCAATAGATGGGTATTGTCCCGAATGAAGCCCGTGTCTGACCATAGGAAACGAAATGGGGGGATTTGCATCTATACCCAGTTTTTGGGTCACATTTTAACCTACACTCGCTTTGCAAAAAAAATTATAAGCGTACCCACTTTTCGGATAACTTCAGGCATACGGGCCTAAAGTAGCAAAAATTTATGTCTACCTGAAGTGTAGCTTTACCTGAAATTTGAATTTCAGAATTTTTTACCTGAAGTGTAGCCTTATCAAAGCAAAACTTCAGATATTTTTGCCTGATGTTTGGCCTGACTTGCAAAGGCAATCACGCAAACTTCAGTTCATAGTGCAAGGGAAAACTTCAGTTTCTCCTCACTTCATAGTGCAAACTTCAGACAAATTAGTCTGAAGTTCTTCAATTTGTAGTGCAAACTTCAGGAACTTTAGTTCATAGTGCAAGGGCAAACTTCAGTTTTTCCTCACTTCATAGTGCAAACTTCAGACAAATTAATCTGAAACTCTTCAATTTGTAGTGCAAACTTCAGGAACTTCAGTTCATAGTGCAAGGGCAAACTTCAGTTTCTCCTCACTTCATAGTGCAAACTTCAGGAACTTCAGTTCATAGTGCAAGGACAAACTTCAGTTTTCCCACTCTTCATAGTGCAAATTTCAGACAAATTAGTCTGAAGTTCTTCAATTTGTAGTGCAAACTTCAGGAACTTCAGTTCATAGTGCAAGGGCAAACTTCAGTTTCTCCTCACTTCATAGTGTAAATTTCAGACAAATTAGTCTGAAGTTCTTCAATTTGTAGTGCAAACTTCAGGACAATTTAACTGTTCGGTGTAACTAAGAGCTGGTTTGGCATCACATCGGGATTTACCTCATGGGGAATTCTTCATGTTCTTCATACTGGATTTGGAACTTCTGTATATTCAGTATGAGATAAACACATAACAAGATGAACTAGAGGGTATGTGTTGCGCTCTCGATGCATTTGGATTTGTATCTCGAGCTCGCAAAATAAAGGATTGTAAAATTTGCAGAAGCCCACGTTTTACCTTCTGTTGGCAGGGTTTCTGAATTTAAATAGAGAACAATAACAATACTCTGTATTGTTATTGTTATTTTATGACAGTATTTGATCAAATGTAGGTTAAGTTGTTAATTTGACTTAATATATTTTATTAGTGAATATATTAAAGTAGCGGTTGAAAAGTTAATTTGATAGACAAGAAGAGGAGGAAGAAAGGAGCGCATAGGTCAGGAGGAAGAAGAGGAGACGTCTGAAGTTGTTAAAATTAGGGTATAGGTTAAATAATTTTAAAAATATGGGTATAGGTTAAATGGGGGCGACTAAATAGGGCGCCCCGTGCAATTTTTACAAAGAAATGGGCCTCAAATATGGTCCAGACTCTTGGGCTCTCGACTTATTTGAGCCTGACATACAATAAGCCTTAGCTACATGCCCATGTTATCAATTTTCATAAGGGATTTTGGCATGGTGTAATAACGTACCTACATAATTGGGGGTATTATTTACCCCGTGTCAGAAATTATTCACATTTAGTAACCGAAAAAAGTGTATAAAATTTGTATAATGTTTGTATATAACATACAGAATGTATATATATATATACACAAAATATATACAAATTTTATACATTTTTCGGCTATTATTTTTACAGCGGCTATACAGTGTCATTTTTCCTACATAATTGGCAGAAAAAAATCTTAATTATAGATATTGGCACCAGATAGCCAATAAATGTATATCACAAAAAAATGTGTATATTTTTACTTTCCTTCTTTGTATATATCCAAATGTATATTATTTTTTTTCCTTCTTTGTATATCC